TYYYCMMAAWMYCCYCTMWWMCYSYSCYYTGTCTGCCACCTRMACTGGCAGGGTTTACAGCCCCAAARCAGAACTGAACCCACCTGCTCCAGAGTTGCTTGGGAAAAGCTGTACTCCTCSATGTTAAAGGCATGTTTCACTGGGGAAGGGATTAAAAACAGATTTAGGGACACTTGACTCTCACAAGAAACAGAGTTGGGGATGACGACAATAACAGAAAAATAAATTAAATCTGTCTGGAACAGAAATGGGGAAACAACACCACACAGCAGAAGTGTCAGTTATGAGAGACAGAAGGATTTTTGTGGGTGTGATGCACAGCAAGTGCTTCATTACCTTCCTCCAGCTTGGAAAAAGAATGTGACAGCGACTGCACGTCCTCTTTAGGAATTTTATACGCCAAGATGGAAGCAAAGCTGGAACAAAGAACAGAACAAATTCAGCTTTGAGCAGRATCTCTCCAAGTGAAAACATCCCCACCCCAACAGAACGGATCTGAACTCCTTTTCTGAAGGTTACTGCAGGCATTTTGAGCAGTCAGGATGAAATGGGAGAAGGGGATGAGGCAGCTCCAGGTGCAGCAGCTGAGACCCCTGGGACTGCTGCAAGTTCACACTCTGCCACTCAGTTCCATGGTTTCTRTTCTGCTGACTCACGGAACATTTGCTGYCTGCAGCTCCCTGAGTCCTCCYTTTTCCCTTTCAGCTGCTCTGGGASGTCACAGCCCCTCCTGGATTTGCATAATTCCCCAATACCCATTCCAGGAGCTGCTCTGCTCCCCTCCCTCCCCACCTCCCACCTTTGGGGAGCACTCCCCATGGGCAATGCCCTTTTTGGAGAATCTCCCCAACCCCTGAGCCAACCCCTGCGGTTCACAGGGCAGAAATCCGGAGCTGCTGCTGCTGGAAAACAGCAGCCAGCCCACCCTCAGAGAGCCCCAGGGAGCTCAGGCATTTCCAGGTAGGGTCAGTGAGTCAGAACCTCACATTTCAGCCCCTTCCCGGGGGCCCTGACCCAGCAGGAAACTGTCAGGCAACAGCTCTGCAGAAATCCAGTTTTGCTTCCTCCGTGCCGAACATCTGCGCGGGCTCGAGCTCTGCTGCCTTCCAGATCCCTTCCTCTTTCTCAGTTTTTATTATTTTTAACCTGGGTGTAAGCATTCACGTTCCCTCCCCAGCGCCACGGAGCTGCTGTGGAATCAGAGGGTTTTTATTAATTGATGTTTTTTTGGGTGTTTGTCAGAGCTCACCTTTCCTGGCGGCTGGCGTTGGGGAAGATGTGCAAGATCTGGCTCTGCAGATACTCCACCTGCTGCACATCTGCTGTTTCCCTCAGTTTCATCTCCAGGAAGTATCCTCTGCCAAATTTGCTCTTGAGGTGCTGGACAGTGCCTATACACCTACAAATTCCAGGCAGAAAATACAAATTGTACTCAACAACAGCCTGAATTCAAACCAGTGTTTTTACAAGTCAAGGATGAATTTCAAATTCACTCCAAATTCTGAATTTAAGGCACAAAATGGATTTGTATTTTCAGAGAGACCCATCCAGGGGGGCTGTGGTACCTGAGCTGGCCGGACACCAGGATGGCCACACGGTCACACACAGCATCAGCCTCCTCCATGTAGTGCGTGGTCAGGATGGCAGCTCTCTCCTTGTTCTTGAAGGCAGCCCGGATTGCCCGCCTGGAACACAGCCAAAACCAGCCCTGAACACCACCAAAACCAGCCCTGAACACAATTAAAACCAGCCCTGAACACAATTAAAGCCAGTCCTGAATATAGCCAAAATCAGCCCTGAACACAATTAAAACCAGCCCTGAATACAACCAAAATCAGCCCTGAACACATCCAAAAACAGCACTGAACACCACCAAAACCAGCCCTGAATACAACCAAAATCATCCCTAAATACAACCAAAACCAGCACTGAACACCATGAAAAACAGCCCTGAACACCACAAAAAATCAGCCCTGAACACCAAAACCATTCCTTCCAGCAGGGAATGGCAAATCTTGGCTCTGCATGTATTTCTTCTTATTATTTTATATATATTCCTTACATTATTTTACATTATTCCTTACATTATTTTACTAGTTCATTCTATTATTTTATATGTATTCTTTACATTATATTTATTCCTTCTTTTATTTTACATATATTCCTTCTACTACTTTACGTGTATTCATTACATTATTATGTATTCCCTATATTATTCCTTATATTATTCTACATGTATTCCCTATACTACATTATTCCTTATATTATTTTACATATATTCCTTCCCTCATCTTATATGCATTCCTCCTATTATTTTAAGGATTTCTTTCAACTTCCAAGCTTTTAATGCCCAAGCTKTTCTGGTGGAGAGGACACAGCTGCACTGCACCTGGCACAAAGGTTGGGAAGGATTCTTCCCYCTCTGGGTCCAGCTCTGCAGGAGCTGCTGGAAGAGGCCAAGGAGATGCTCCAGGATGCTCAGAGCTCCTTGCAGGGTCTAAAGTGGCTCCAGGAGAGCTGGAGAAGGACTGGGATGGAGGACATAGGGAATGGGGTCACACTGGCAGAGGGNTTTTAAGGATTTCTTTCAACTTCCAAGCTTTTAATGCCCAAGCTTTTCTGGTGGAGAGGACACAGCTGCACTGCACCTGGCACAAAGGTTGGGAAGGATTCTTCCCCCTCTGGGTCCAGCTCTGCAGGAGCTGCTGGAGGAGGCCAAGGAGATCCTCCAGGATGCTCAGAGCCCCTTGCAGGGTCTAAAGGGGCTTCAGGAGAGCTGGAGAGGGATTGGGGACAAGGGATGGAGGACATAGGGAATGGGGTCACACTGGCAGAGGGAAGGGATGGATGGGATATTGGGCAGGAATTACCCTGGTTTAGTGGAAGGGATGGAACTGGATGGGTTTTATGGCCCCTTCCACCCCATTATTCCCCCTCTGTGGCCATTCCCAGTGCCAGCAGTGTCCCCAAACCCCATCCAGGCCCTTTTTTTCCCCCCATACTCACCACATGTGCTGCTTGGCTTTGGGGTCCATGCCCGTGGAGGGCTCGTCCAGCAGCGTGACCCGCGGGTTGCCCAACATGCTGAGAGCAAAACAGAGCTGGGGGGAGGCAGAGGGGCAGGGTGAAATGGGGCAGGGCACTGCTGACCCCCAGAGTGACCCCACAAACCCCATACCTTGCGTTTCAGCCCCACTCCCAGCTTCTTGGTGGTTTTCTGCAGGTGGTCCTTCAAATCCAGGGCGTTGGCGATGCTGGGGAGGGAGGGATGGGGTGTGAGAGGATGGGAGGGGGATGATGGTTTGGCTTCCCCCTCATCTGAGCAGCTCCTTTAAAAGGGTTTAGCCCCAAATATTTGTGCATTGAGTATAAAAAAAGCAAAGCAAAAAGCAGAATTGGTGTTTCCACTGAAAAACACCTGGAGGAGCTCATGGTGACAGCTCCAAGGTCAGGATTCCCCAAACTGGCAGATTCCACCGTCAGCACTTCACAGACTTAAAAAAAAATAACTCTAGAAAAAAATTTGATGAAAGTTTGATGAAATTTCAAAGTGAAAAATCCCAGCTGAATTTTGTGTGGGTGAATCTTCATCTCCTCACCCGCAAATTGACAATAATGGAATTTTAACTGAGCTTAAGACCAAAGTTAAATGTAAACAGGGATTGCATTAGGAAAGGTGAGAAGGGGGGGAAAAAAACCATGAAAAAAACCCAAAAAACCAAACCAAACAAAAAAACCCCAAATGAACAAAATAAAAAAAAAACCCCAAATGAACAAAATAAAAAAGAAACACTTAATACAAAAAACAAAAATGAAAACAAACACAAACCCCCCAAAAAACAAAGAAAAAAAAAAGCCGAAACCCTCCAGCAATATTCCTGAAAATAAGAAAAAGCCAAGAAACTGCAGTTAAACCAAAAAGATTTCTGTCATGGAGCACTCACCCCTTGATGACTTCTTTCACATCAGACTGGCTCATGCCTTTGATAGCACCATAAATCTCAAARTGCTCCTGCAGAGTGATCTCTGGCCAGAGAGGATTTGTTTGGGGACAATACCCCACAAATTTCACTGAGTCATCCTCACTGCTCAGCCCCAAAGAATAATCCCCCATCAGAACCTGCCAGGAAAACGCCCAGACTTTAATTCAGAATATTATAATTTCCAAATTATTAAAATTTCTAAAGTGKTTTTGTATAGCTTTAGCAAAGCGCTCCCAGGAATGCTTGTAATAATAATAAAATATAATAAATAATAATAAATTCTAATAAAATTGAAATATAGGTTGATTTTTATGCAAAACCACCAAATGGTTTTGAATAGCTTTAGTAAAACACCCGCAGAAATGCTTGTAATAAAGATCAATAATAAAATATAATAAATAATCAGAAAATACAATAAATAATCATAAATAATTGAAATTATATTGATTAATTATATTGAATAATTGAAATTAATTAAAATTGAAATATAGGTTGATTTTTATGCAAAACCACCAAAATGGTTTTGCACAGCTTTAGCAAAATGCCCTCAGGAATGCCTGTAATAAATAATATAATAAATACTAATAATAAAAAATAAGAAAATTTAAATGTAGGTGGATTTTTATGCAAAACCACCAAAATTGTTTTGCATAGCTTTAGCTAGATGCCTTCAGGAATGCTTGCAATAAATAATAATAAAATAAAACTGAAATATAGGTTGATTTTTATGCAAAACCAGTGGCTTTGCACAGCTTTAACCAAATGCCCTCAGGAATGCTTGTAATAAATAATAATAAAACACCATAAATAACTTAATAAACAATAATAAAACCGAAATCTAGGTTGTTTTTTTGCAACATGGCACCCACCTGCCCGCTGGTTGGCTCGATCTCCCCGACGAGCATATTAATTAACGTGCTTTTCCCAGCTCCATTGGGTCCCAACAACCCCAGGATTTCTCCTGAAGAACAACACAAAAATTGCCCACAGGGGTCAGAGAAACCGCTCCAAAAGTCTTTTTTCTAAACAAAAAAGCCAAACTCCAACCTTTCTTCACGCAGAGGGAAACGTGCTTTGTCGCCACTTTCTTTATTTTCCTGCCCAGGAGAAATTCCTTCCTCTCATCAAACTCTTTGTGCAGGCTGCTGACCAGGATTGCTGGCATCTACCAGGGGAAAGGGAGCAGCTGCAGCTCCCAAAACTCTGGGAGCTTCCAAATTTTGGGGTTTGGGCTTTTTTTGGGAAGGGTTTTTTTTACCTCCTCGCTTTTGGGGCTGCTCAGGATCTCCTTGACCCGCAGCCTCTCTGCCTTGACATCCTCATCCTCGTTTTCCTCGTGAGGGACATCAGGGAACTTCCAAGTCTTGGTTTTGGTGAAGCATTTTCTGGAAAGGGGGGGAAAAAACAGCACGAGGGATCTGTTTTGGGGTTGTGTTTGCTCTAAGGAGGAGAAGGGTCCTGCAGCTCATCCCTCCCCGCTGAGCCCTGCATCTCTGGGCAGTTCCCTGTTTTTATAAAGGCAACATCCTCAGAAAATTCCTRATTTTGCAGCGATGTAACTCAAAATAAAACACTTCTGCACTGCAGTGATGATTTGGGATGGGATGGGATAGAACAAAAGATGTTTGTTTGATTTTTTACCACTGCAAATTCCAGTTTCACCATCACCAACAGCCCCCTCAAACCCCAAATTCCACTTTCACCACCTCAAACCCCATTTCTTTGGAGCACACCTTCATGAGCAGCACCCTTAAACCCAGTTTTCTTTGGAGCACACCCCAATTTCAACACCAACAGAACCCTCAAACCCGAAATTACAGTTTTACCACCTCAAACCCATTCTCCTTGGAGCACACSCCATTTTCCCCACCACCAGCATCCTCAAAACCCATTTCTCTGGAGCACATCCCACCCCCACCACCAGCAGAATCCTCCAACCCAGTTTCTTTGGAGCACTCCCCATTTTCTCCACCAACAGCCCCCTCAAACCCCAAATTCCACTTTCACCAGYTCAAACCCCATTTCTTTGGAGCACACCTYCATGAGCAGCACCCTCAAACCCAGTTTTCTTTGGAGCACATCCCAATTTCAACACCACCAGCACCCTCAAACCCCATTTCCTTGGGGCACACCCCATTTTCCCCACCAGCAGCCCCCTCAAACCCCATTTCCTTGCACTATGACCCAAGAAAATCCCTTTTCCAAGCCTCACCTGAAGAAGGGATCCTCCCTGACCGTCCTCCCACCATTCCTCAGCTCGAAGTAGCGCAGGAGGAGCAGCCACACCACACACTGCACGTAGGGCTGGAGCAGAGAAAAAAAATAACCCTGGTCACTGGGAGGGCTGGGGACACTGGGGTGAC